AGTATTTTATGAAGTATCTGGGTAAAGATAGGGTTTCGAAGAACACCAGCAACTTTTAAAAACTTTTTCTGACTTGTGGGACTTAAGGAACGTTCCTCCTTTGTATGCTTTAGTTTAGAGGTTGTTTGCATGCCCTGACTCCAGACTGGATGCTTTCTCTTCCTTCCCCTGTAAAACTTAGGGCACTCCATCGAACAATGACAAGCGGCCAAAAGGAAGAGGGGGGGAAAAAAAAAAAAAATCAATTTGTAATCTGATTTGAGGGTTTTGATTTCCTCTGATGAGCTTCAATTTCATTAAAAGCAACCTTATTCTCACATAAAAGAGCTCCTTGAAGGGTAAAGCGGGGAATTGTCTCAAAGAGTATAAAGAGCCCGCGTCCTTTGTGCCGTTGATCCAGGGCATTAATTGTGGGGCGCGGCGGGCGGTGCGGGCTGGCGGGTGCGCGGTTATCGGCCCCGCGATCTGCGCGAGAGGGGAGGCACGGCACAAGGGCTCACATTCAAGAATCACTGCGGGCCCTATTGACACCTCGGTTATCAACAGCCCTTATTATCTGCTTAGCGGCGGATCGCAGCCCGCCGGTGACATAATAAGCTACAAATCACTGGTGGGGCCTTTCTGCATTCTCCTAATTGTGTGTATTCTCTGGAAAAAAAAAATTATCGCCGGGGCTCTTGTCTTGATGAGAAATTGACATTTTCTGGCGGAGCCTGGCGAGGACTATGTGGGGAGATAAGACTTATAGTTGTTTTAAAGGAGTGCAGCCATTCTTTCAGAGGCCTCTTTATTGCTCTAGTTGACCCACTTGATGAGTATGGATTTCATGAGGTCTTTTTCAGCATTTGAACTATAAAAGGTTCAGAATGACACCACCCCTTATAGACAAAAGATAACCTTGCCCTTTGAATATATTGATTCTTTATTAACTAGGCTGTTTAATGCAATGAAATGAGGCATTAGATTGAAGCCTATTTCAAGTGCTTTGAATAATCTTTAAAAGCTTGAAAGACTTTTAAAAGCTGCTCTGCAATAATTGGCATGTACTTTTAGAGACTCTTATTCCTTCGTTTTGATTAAAGAATTTTTATCATCTTCCTGTGTCTAAACTCACTGTGGGCTGACACAACATATTTCCTCAGCAGGGCTCTTACCCAGATGTGTCGTAGGTGGTGGATTGCTCTAGGAATTGTCATATGTGGGTTTTCTCCTTTTGTATTTTCCTTGCATTGAAAGTTAGAGGAACCATTTAGATGCTCATTATTCAAACCTTTGAAATAAAACTAAAAGGAAAAGTGCCAGTAGGCATCGTGCAGACTTTCATCCCTAAAAACCAGCTTATTTTTTAGAGGGATGCATCTGATTATGCCGCCTTTTAAACACGATACACAGACACACACTCAGAGTGGAACAGTTTTCAATGCATAATAATAATAATAAAAATAATCATAATAATAACAATAATACAAAGTGTTCTGCAGCTCTAACACCTTTTTTTCATCAAATCTATTTTCATCTAACATGAAAACTATGGAAATACTGGAGAAGAAAGGAAGCATGGTCAAAAATCCCAGTTTTCCTGTGACTGCAGTGAGTTTTGCCTTCTCCCCACTCCATCCCTGAACCACAGGCAGCCGAGGAGGGGCTGGGACACACAGCACGTCCTTTGGCACTGGATCCACAAGCACCACTCCACCCCTTCACTTTGGAGCTCCGAGTGTCTCAGTGCCCTCTCAAAGTTGTCAGCAGCCCTCTGATTAATGACCGGATCAAACTCCAGAACAAACTCCCCGTTTCACCACCACAGCCGCTTACATTCCTCTGCCAGACCCGTATTCCTGTGGAAATACCCTTTTTTTTTTGGTGGTGCTGGTCACACACAAGGATACAGGAGCACATTTGGTGTCTGGGACGGGGAACTCGGACCTGTACATCAGGCAAGGCTTTGCAGCTCTCTCCAGCTCCGAGGTTGCACGTGCCCACCTCATTATAAATATATTTTTGCACCCATTATATGCACATTGCACATATTATGACCCAGAGGATGAAATATTTGTGCTCAGTATTATAATTAGCAAAAGAATTTGCTTCCTTCTCAGCAGTTAAGAGACGAGCACGTCGACCTTCAGTGTCAAACCACCACATGGAAAATTTGGGTTGTGCTTTGTTTAAAATAACTTTTCCTGTTTACAGACTTTTACAATATGATATTAAAATAGTAAAAGAAAAAAAAATCTATTGTTACCTTTGCTTTACAAAAAGCCTGTCTGAAGTGCACCGTTTTGATTAAATAAGAAAAAGAGATATTCTGCAGTTATCTTCTCAAAAAGTGAGTAGTTTTGGTAAATACTTCACCGAGGCTGAGCAACAAGTGATTGCCACTGCAGAGCAGAGATCTCCTTCCTCATCCTCCTCCCAGGGAACTGGAAAGACCATGTCAAGGGTTTGGGCTTTTTTGTAACAAAGGAATAAAAATTCTGATATGTAGAAATGAAACCCCCAGTGTTGCGCTATTTCGTTTAGTGTTTAGTCACTTTTTTTTTAATAACCAAACCAGATAAAATTACTAAAAATGAAATTCACAGACAAGAAATACTTTAATTAAATATTGTGTAAAATGAACATTTTTTTATACAGTTAAATATATGAAAAAATGTACAGATAAAACAATCTTATTGTAGGGTCTTTAACAGTAAAATCTACCATTTAGTGAAGCTTTCCGTCTGGAGACAATGAAGCCATGAGTGCATTGACTAATTAATCTAAAACACAAACAGATTGCAGTTATGAAGGAACTTGCAGACTTTCTTAACATGTACACGTGACCTCTTTTTTAATTTTTTTTTTTTTAGAGCAAAACCTTACTTAGACAAAATATAACGGAGGCAATTCAGTTCCAAAGTGACTTCTCAGGCTTTCCCACCTAGCCAAGCCTTGGCCGTGCTCACAGAGCTGTGCTACGCTGAGCCCTTCTTCTAAACCTTTCAGAAAAGCTTGACTAAAATGTGCATTTTTCTTCTTGCCCAAAAAGAAAAAAAAAATACAAAAATAATAATAATAAAAAAAAATTTGTAATAATTAACAAAATGATCCCTCCTTTTTTGGTTAAAAGGTGAATTCTGCTGCAGTTTGCAATGTGCTTTGCAGTGCTGCGCTGGCAAAGGATTTAGTGCAAAGTAAAAATAAAAACAACTCCACGTTTCTCTGGCTGGATTTGGCACTGAGAGCCATGGAATACAACGGAGGTCATTCCAGTTTAAAAAGTACCGTCGGCTACGGGTTGATTACAAAAAGTTCCCTAAAAAAAACCCCAAGAAACCTAAATAAACAACGCCCAGATATTAAAAATTCGGTGTGATCCTGATTTCCCGTGAAACCTTCCCTGGTTTTGAGCAGAGCAGGGTTTGGAAGAATGCAGAGTGCAGCAGAAAACCGACACATAAAGGAGTGGCAGAATTGTACACCAGGATTGTGCTTTTTTTTCCCCCCTTATTTTTTACACCAGAAATCATCCAAATGAAGTCGTGATTAACAATTGTGGTGTAAGCCTGTGATAAAACAGCACAAAAGTTCTTCAAAGAAGTTCACTTTTAAGGCATCAGAGAAGTTCATGTGGCAAACATTTTAATTAAAACATCAGAAGTGAATTTATTTTTAAACTTTAGGCCTCTGAATTTTTCCAGTAAACACAGTTCAGCTATGTGGCAAAGTCATGGGTGGAAGCTAAAAATGACTTTTTACAATCTTAAAAAAAAAAAAAAAAATTAAAATAAAATTAAAAAAATAAAGAAAACAAACAAACAAAAAAAAAAAGAAAAGAAAAAAGGCAACCACAAAATAGATTCATCTTTTCTGTGGCTGTATCACATGCACATATTCTACTAGTATTCATTACAGCCATGTGGCACAATTTTGATTTGACTATACAACAAACGACTTTTTCGTTCAAAATTATTTGTTCTGATAACTTAAAAATAATATAAAAATAAACAATGAATTTGAATTTTTGAAAAAAAAATTTAAAAAAGAAAGGATAGAAAGGCTAAACAATAGCAACCTTATGAAGTACAAATGAAATGCACAGACACTGATTTATTTAAAAGAAAAACATGAAGGCAACTGTTCTTGGCTTAATGCTATTTTCAGCATCACAATACCAGGCCAGGACAAAAACCAATACATACAAGAACATAAAAAAAAATGATGAAAAGCAATATACAAAATTTCAAAGATAAATACAATATTTATAGTTGATATGTTACAAAATAAATTCCCTTAGTGACTGCAAGTGTTTATGTGAAAGAAAGTGTTGCAATGGATAAGACTATTTTATTCCTTATAGCCGTCATAAGGAATAAAATCTGCTTTTTCTTTGTCTAAATATTTAAGTGGATCTGAAAAAAATTCAAGACAAGTGTATAAATATTTAGCTACAACTTTGGCAAAATCACAAAAGTCTACAATTTTATAACCACATACAAAACACATTAGGGAAGAAGGATCTAGAAGTCAAAAGGACAATTTTCTGGTACAAGAAACATAGACTTCACAGTAGCCTAAAATGCAATAGTATACAGTGCTAGCAAAAGTTGAAAAAATGTTGCAGATCACACTTGCTTAACAGGAAGCTCTAGCAGTGGAAGTATATTTTTTTCATTTTTTTAAACCAACAGACAGTAGCAATTTCTTTTTTTTTTTTTTTCTCTGTCAGTGTGCTTGTTGAAGGCAAGAGAATTCAATATCAAAGTTACAATTTCTAACTACAATAAGTTACAAAGTTCCATTTCATTAAGATGAAGTTAAGCAACGATAAACCCCCCCGCGCCCGCCCCCACGCCCCGGTTTTTTGTGTGGTTTTTTTGGTAACTCACACAAAAAACCTGCTTATGAAAGATGAGTGCTGCTCATGCTCCAAAATGGTTTTAGCATTTCAAATATAAGTATTTTTAAATTGAAATATTCCAATTGTTTTTTTTTTTTTTTTTTTTTTATTCTTTTTTTTTTCCAGTTTGATGGCTCATAACCTCCTTGGCCCCCTTTTTTTTTTTTTCCACCACAAAAAAATATTTCACATTATAGAGATACACAACCATTGTGAATCTAGTTATGAGTACAGAAAAATGTTCGGAGGCATTTTTCATCAGTGTTTCATGATAATCAAAATGGTGCATCCACAAAGTTTCTCCCAACACATAGCAAGTACTAGACATAGCCAAGACGTAATCAGAAACTTTATACAAAATAGGCGTCGCTTTTTCCTTATTCTCCAGGACTGAGAAATGTGAAAATATGAGAAAAATTCAGTCAATAAAATGGAATTGTTCATGAAGAAGTAGGTTGTTTTGCATGTAGATTCTTAATAGTTTAAATAAAATCTTTAAACAAAGTCTTTTTTTTTTTTCTTTTTTTTGTGGGTTTTTTTTTTTGTTGTGGGGTTTTTTTATTTTTTCCTGTAGCATTTCGATTTTGTTGCTGATTCTGCGTGAAGATACTGCTTCCATCAGCATGTCTTAATATACTAAACTTGTCCCCTAAGCCCATCCTCTGCAGCTTGGTGCTACGGTAGGTAAACAAAAGTGACTTTACATTGGCGGGACTACAAGCCCGGACATGGCTAAAAGAAAAAAGAGAAGAAAAGGAGCTGTTATTGGCACGCTGGGCTCAGAGCCACCACGGGACGGGGCGGGAGGACGCAGAGCCCGGCTCCTCCACGGCATCCCCAGAGCAAGGACCACGGACACTCCTCCCAGCAAAACACACCCCACGCAGCCTCTCCTCGAGAAAGGAGCAGAACGTCCCCACTTCCCCAGGCTCAATCCTCTCCAGGCTCCTGACAACTCCTCCGGCTGTATCCCCATCCCCTGGGGACATCCCCAACAATCACCTCCTCGTGCCCTGGGCAGAAAACCTCATTTCCCATTGTTCTACTTCATGATAAAAGCAAGACTGAGCAAGCCAAGGACTCTCCAAGACCAAAACCAAGAACTCTAAACCTTCTCCCAAGCCTAGAGCTCAAGCACCATAAAAATACATTATATTAATACTCCTGACCAGCCATATCCTGGGGTTTCTTAACATATAAAGGCTAGATGCCAGCAACCACTGTTTTTTCCTAGTTAACTCTTTGGTAGAAGCACAATTTAGACAGTCTTTAATTTTAGTGTTGTTTAATTTTTGCCATAATGATATTTCTCATTAATTTATGTACAACAGATATTAATAAATTTGTTCGTGTAGCGATGTGAACTTCAATTTCTCAGTCCATTAATTTCAACAATATTAATTTATTTCAGATTCGCCGTTGCAGCTTTACGGTTTGGAAAAGCTGGGTCTGTACACATTTCATAGGTAACACAACCACAACCAGCATTGCTCCAACAGCTGCACCCAGAGCCTGGAGCAGCCCCTGGTCCTGCCAGAGCCTTCTCTGGATTTGGGTGGAGTTAAACCTCTCTAAAACACAGATGAGGTGATGTTTGTGAAACAGGATAAAGTCTTCCAACTCTGTCATTTTTCTCCCCAATTAAACGTGTTGAAAATGTCAAAATCCAAACTGAAGTTATAATTTTGCAATATTCTTCATAATGAATGTTTTCAACCTAACTAGCAACTTAAGTTACAAAATTTAACTGGAGAACAGTGGTTATATTGGCAGAGAGCCTTTCTACCCAAAATATTCCGATTCCTTATCATGTTTTCAGAGAATCACAGACTCATTCAGGTTGGAAAAGGTCTCCAAGATCACCAAGTCCAATCTGTCCCCAATCCCGACCTTGTACTCCAGCTCACAGCACTGAGTGCCACCTCCAGGAATTCCTTGGACTCCTCCAGGGATGGGAACTCCAAACCTCCCTGGGCAGCCCCTGCCAAGGCCTGACCACTCTCAAAAAACCCTTAAAAACAACGTTTCACTGAATCTCCTCTGTTCCACCCTTCACCAGGCCAGCTGATGACCTCACCCTGTGTTTGGACCCTGCTCTCAGTTTGGCTTTTCCTGTGGGATTCAGCACCAAATCTGTCACCATGCCAGTCTGCTTATTTGGGGTGCACCTGGCCTGGGGGTGCAGGAGATCATTTTATGGAACAGCTGTCATGGAATCACAGAATCATTAACATTGGAAAAGACCTTTAAGGTCAAGTCCAACATCAACCAGCACTGTTGTGGTTCACCACTAAACCGTGTCCTCAAATGCCTCGTGCTGCAATTCAACCATCAGCTGCTCCACCCCTGGCAGGGTCCAAGGCCAGGTTGGACAAAGCTTGGAGCAATTTAGGATAGTAGAAAATGTCCCTGCCCATGGCAGAAGGTGGGACAGGATGGCCTTTAAGGTGCCTTCCAACCAAACCATGCTAAGATTCTGCTGTGTGAAAATTTAGATTATCTGCTGCCAAAATATCTCAGTTCTTTAATTTAACCATTTTTGTTGAACTCTCTCTTTGGCACAGTCTGAGAGGGGATGCAAGGTTGGTGCTCCAGATGTGCGTTTCACAATTTATTTTAGTAGCAATCTTTGACAATTGTGAATTTCTGCGCTGAGCTTCCTGCTGTGCAAATTGATACCAAACGCCTTCTTAAAGAAAAATGAGCTGGTGAGTTTTTTAATAATAATTTTAATACTTTCATCTGGAGGAAGACCAGAAAATTAAGCAGGATGCAATTTTAAAAGAATATAGAGAGCCTTTTGCTGTGCATTATAGTCCTATAACCAGAGAGCAATATCTTTCACAATCTATAGAAAGCAAATTACTATTGAAAACCAAATTTTGAACACATACTGTGCTTCCAACTTTGCAGCGAGCCAGTAGTCTCTCGCTAAAAAATTTCTTTTCTAGCTTTACTGTTCATTGTTTTAAACAGGAAAAGACTCTCTGCCCTAAGGAGCACACACGATAGGATCCTGCTCTTAAAAAATTCGTGTGAGTACTTGACTTTCTGGTCATAGACTATGGAGGTCATGCAGAGTCAACAAGATTGCGGCTTTTTGGATACGGCCCAAAAGCCCTTTTCTGTAGGCTTACTCACAGGAGTGAGTCAGGCCCTGGGGACAGCAGGGAGAGAGTTCTCCTCCAAGAGCTGCAGCTTCTGAGTGCTGGCCCTCCTTAGGCTGGCAGTGGCCATGCAGCTGGCACGGGTGCAGCAAAGGAGGGGAGAAAACACCAGCCCTGGCTGGCATTGCCCCCAGCCTGACCTCTCTGAGATCTCCTAGATTGTCTTTTTCACTCTTAACCTCTGTCTTCATCATTGAATCATCAAATCCCAGATTGGTTGGGGTTGGAAGGGATCTTAAGGACCATCTCATTCCAACCCCCTGCCATGAGCAGGGACACTTTCCACTGGAAGGCGTCTTGGATCTCTTTACCAAAAAAGTGTCACCTACAGATGTCTCCATGCTCACTCTTGGGCAGTAGGTCCTACAGCACAGAGAGGGGTTTGGGGTTGTGCTTACAGGGAGCAAGATCTTGCTTCTGCTGTGATGGGCTCGGGTGGTCCTGATGCTCAGGGTTACATCAGCACAAGCCAGAAATCAGAGCAGCTCAATTCCTGTTTGACTCTTTGTTAAGGAACAAAACAATCCCCCTGAGGTCCAGCTGGAACTGCTCAATTCTGCTGTTCTCACCAACTCAGATGTACCACAGGCAGCATTCTTCCCACACAGAGATACCCTACAGTGGTTTACCCACCAGGGAGGGGTCAATTAACCCCCAAATCCCTGCAAAAGGATCACCCTTGTCTGAATCTGAATTCTTATCCATTCTTATCCAAGGCCCTGCTTATCCATAAACTTCAGGATTTGCCTCTTATGCACCACCAGTGACCATGAGCTCTTACTGCCCTCTTGGCTTGCCTGAATGTGACCATTCCTAACAGTGACATCTCCTCAGCTGTGGCTCAGCTCCTTCACACCCTGCCCTAAAATGAGACTCTGTACTTGAAGATCACCAAAAACACTTCAGCTGCATTGGACTGCAGCTCTCAAACTCCATATTTTAACTTAATGTAGAAAATGTGCTGATCAGAAAGCTCTCAAGGTGATTGTACAGAGTCCAGAAAGCAACTAATTAAACTTTAAAAAGGGATCCCTGACAACAAACGACTGAGAAAATAGGAAGGAAGAAGCAGAAACTCCCTAATGAACTCTATGTATCAAATGCAGTGTAGATAAGTACCAACACAGGAGTGTTGGTGGTTTTTCTTGACGATGTCTCATGAAGGAAGGAGCTGACAAACTCACCCCTGTCCTGCCCTCAGCCCTGGCTGAGATCTGTGAGTATGAATGGGTGAATTTGAGGGCTTTTGTGAGCTCAGTCTGAACTGACTCAAGGAATCAAGGTGGAAAAAGGGATGGTGCCCCTGTTGGGATGGTGAAGGAGCTCACAGAGGACTCCTGGGTGGGGGAGGTGAGGGGGTGCTGAGGCCCTGGCACAGGGAAAGCTGTGACTGCCCCATCCCTGGAAGTGTCCAAGGCCAGGCTGGACTGCCCTTGGAGCAGCCTGGGACAGTGGCAGGTGTCCCTGTCCAAAGCTGGAACTAGATGGTCTTTAAGGTCCCTTCCAACCTAAACCATTCCAGGGTTCTGTGGTTCCATGTCCGTTCCCTAACTCCCACAATACTGAGCATCACTCTGTGGTGCTGTCTACTTTGCATAAATTATGCACATATTTTTGCCACAACCCTGGAAGTCTCTGCTCTAACTAGCAGGCCAGAAGGACATTCTGCCTGTTTCTCTGGGTCGTTCTGCTCAACACAAAATCACTCAGGTTCAGCTGATGGAGGAAAATCGACAATTTTTATTAAATTAATTATTTATTTATCTATGTATTGTCTATTTATTTTCAACACTTGATTTTCAGTTCAGCTGCTGATCCAAAACCCAAAAGTATGATCCCAAAAGGATGATCCCAGAAGGATGATCCTAGAAGGATCCTGCATGGATTGCAGCATCCAAAAAACACAGGTTGAAGGCATGGTTGGGTCTTCACTGGGCTCTCTGGGCATGAAAAATCTTAGTGCAAAGTGAGGTTTGGCTCAGTTTGAGAACTGAACTCATGACCTATTTAACAAATCAGTATGGGCTGATTCCAAGTCATCTTCTGAGCTTTATACAAAAATAATTTTGTACCTGAGGATGGGGTCTTGGGGAGCTGCTAAGGGACATTGGGTGCTCAGTGCAGGCATTCAGCCCTCCCAGTTCTCCCTAAAACCCTGCTTTGAGATAATCTATAGATTTTAAGTACCTAAAACCTTGAGTATATGACAGGAAGACCCTTACATATTGAAATGGCAAAAGTCTGGATCATTTAAATTTAGATATTTAAATGATTGTGTCTATCAGAGTAAAACAAAATCAATTAGTTGATATTCCTTCCTCAGATCTAAGCCATATGTTACCACATTTATTTTTTTATTTTTGTCTATTTTTTATTATTTATTTTATTATCTCATTTTCCCTTTTTTTCAGTGTTTACTTTTCATACCAGTGTCTTCTTAGAAAAAGAGGAAACTAGGACACTGGATTATTTTATGAATGGATTATCTTTTCTAAGAATATGGATATCATTTTCCATTTACAGCAGTACCACAGTGAAGCTTCACTAAAGAAATAACGCAAAAAACTTTTAATTTAATTATCCTTTCCTTTAGTATCATGCTACAATGAGTTTGTGCATCTGGATTCTCAGCTCTTTGTTGACCTGAGTGCATAACAAGGTCCCAGATGGGTTTTTTTGGGCCAAGAAGGTAAGAGCAAGCTACAGGAAGATTCATTTTGAGATCCTGGCGTGGATTTGGGATGGGCAGGCAGCTGGAGTGGGGTTGGGATGATGTCTCTCCAAAGTACCTTCAGCACCCCACAAAATGCTGGTGTCCAGAACTGGTTTGGCAAATTAAAATCCTTCTCATCTCTTTGCCTGTGAGTTGGATTGGGATTATGGGAGTCATGGTGATACAAAGGATAAATAATCCCATGCTGCTGCTGCTGCTGAACTGAGGAAGTCAAGAGGAGTGACGACCTCGGGGATGAGACTGCCCTCAACCCTTCCTGGTTTCAAAGGGATCTGAAGCGCCTCAATTTACTGCACTGTGCACTGAGACTCCAGCAGAGGCAGACAAACCTTCCCAGTGACTCTAATGCACCCACATGCATGTCAAAATACTCCCTAAAAGTGGGAGAATTGGACATGAGTCTTCCTTTTTAAGGTGACTTCTTTCTTTGTGTTTTTATTCTCGCATTGTGCTGTAATTCCTCCTGCCCCACACCCTGCAGGTGACCACGGACATTCTGTCACTGATTTATCAGTTGTTTCTTGCATTACCCACATGAAATCACATGGATTATATATATATTTAAAAAAAGGACAAAATATTATAATTGCCTGCCCTAATTAAAATATTTAATTCATTTAGGGATGCAACCACTCTAACACCACAGTAAGAGCTGGCACCACCAGGGCATGCAAACCACTGCATACAGGGCTGCCTAGTCCAGGAAAGCTCAGTCCACTGAGTAAGGGCTTAACCTGACTTATATTAACTTGACATATTTAAGATCACTACTGCACCCTATATAAAGTGAGGAAATCACACCCTGTCCTGCCAGAACACTGCTGGGTTTAAACATCCACAGAAATGTGTTCAGAAAACATAAAAACACCAGGAGTACACAAACCCTCCAAGAGGCATTCCGGGATACAGTCTTCCCTTAAAATTTAAGGCACGGACTCCTAAGGGAAAATGCCAGAAAAACAACTGGTGTTTGCTCTAATGCAAGCATCAAAAATGAACTAAAAACCTGAAAATCTCAGCAGACCATTCACGCTACCCTATTTCTCCCCCCTGCTTTTGCACCACTACAAGAGCACTGAAAAATCCAGCCAGGTACCTTTCCCCCCCGAGGAAAAAAGCACCAAAAAAAAAAAAAAAAAAAAAAAGCAGAGAGAAAATTGAGAGAGATCGGGCTCACCTTGAAGTCCATTTCCATTTGCACTGGTGCAAGATGGTGGAGGAGAGGCTTGGGGCCTGACAACAGGAGCGAAGGCGCTCTTTTGTTTCACTGCAGAGATGACATTGGCAGGTGAGAATGAGAAAATGCCGTGTGTACTGCTACAGTTTGAAGGGAGGGTGACCGAAGAGGCTGCCATGGTAGGGCTTGACGGCACTACTGCAATAAAGCAAAAATAATCAGGACTCAGATTGAGGTTTTCACGGCAAACACGGAAAAAGAGAGTGATAGGGCCTTGCCTCTTAAAATATATATAGATATATATATATATATAAAAAAAATATATATAAAAAAATAAAAATGAAATGCCTTGGCTTGGCCACTCTCTGGATAACAGGCAAACTCTTTTGTGTTGGACTTTTGTTACGAATTGCGCAGTCCAATTTTTATTTTGGTTTTTTTGTTTCGTTTTGTTCAGTTCGTTCTTTTTTTTTTTTTTTTTTTTTTTTTCTCTATCTGAGATTGTATTCTGGCACAAACAGATCAATTTATTATTTTCATTTTTACGTCCAGCCTCCAGAGTCACCCCTCCTTTTATCCAGTAGCTGACAATAGAGGAAATCAAAACAATGCAAGGAGTTGATTTTGTAGTAAATATGAATCTATATGATGATGCGTTACCAAAAATAGACACTTACTGCCATAAGGAGAGTTAGCTGAGGAGCCATTAAGAAATCCAGGGGAACCTGGTACACCTAGATTGGGCATGCCGGCATTGCCATATCCATTCATGCTATTGCTGACTGTGTTGTAATTGGACTGCTGAGGAGTACTGCTGGGAACATATCCTCGCGGGGAAACACTGCTTGTGTTGCGACTGTAACCTACTGTGTTAGAAACCCCCCCACCCCAAAAAAATAATGTTATTTTATAAGATAGACTTAGGGCTGGGGGGTTTCCTCATGCAGCATATATTACACAGTTTTAATTGATTGCACAGCTTTGCTCTGAGTTGTCTCTCACTGCCCTATCAACTCTTGCAGCTTGAGATAACCTTATCACGCCAACCCTACTTAAATCATCCGCGAGCACTCTATGTTGTCTCTCCTCTTAGCACAGACAGCCAACAAAAGCCCTCTTCGATCCAGCTGTGTCAGGTGCCTTCACGTTTGTCTTTAGGAGCAATTATCAACAGGCTCGAGTCCCGCTTTGTACCAACACACTGCGTGAACTTTCAGCCTCTCCGCACCTTCAAATGCCAGAGCTGAAGAGAAAAACTTTTTTGTTGTGGTGATTTACTTTAAAAGGCTGTTTTGGGGTCTTCATTTTGTGATTGATATTTTTTATGCTAACAACAAGCTTTCGTAAGGTGTAGCCATCAGTGAAAACTAATTCAAGAGCAAGTACAGAATTTTATAAGGCTTATTAGCTTGGAAACGCATTAAAAGACAATCTTTTTAGAAGAGGAAACATAGCGGAATCAGGATTTTAAACAACAATTTGTTCCTATCTGAGCAATCAATTTAATAATTACTTTGCAAGCAAAAAAAAAATGCGTTTGAACATATCTAATAATCCTGTTTCCCTCCTTTCATTAGTATCAAAATTAATTTTAAATGCAATATGCTACATGCATTTTCAATTACAACAGGTAAATTAAATCAACTATTACTTTTATTAGTAACATATATGTCACACATGCCTACAAACAAAGTATTTTAAAATCACAGACATCAAATTAAATTTATCTGTGTAAATATTCCAAAACCAGGTGGAGGTACCAAGACATAATTATTTTATAAACCAACCATACACGCTGTACATTTACTGCGAATAACAAAGAGCTTTCTACACTTTGCCAATTTTATTTTTTTTTTCCCCCACTGGAGATGCTTTATGATAACAGTAAATGAAAGAACAGGGAGAATTAAATATTACGAGAAAAGTTAAAGACGGCATTTCATTCCGCGCTCAGGCACACGGCTAGGGGGACAGAAAGAGGGAGGACACAGCGGTGACATCAGCTCGCATGAACAGGCCAAAAGCAGCCAGCAAGGTGAAGGATTAACCCTTGAAATCCCACCTACCTTGGTCGTTGGCTTGCGATGTTTCGGAGACATTGACGGCGAGCTGGCTGCTGAAGGAGTTCACGCCCATCATGCCGGTGTGGGCAGGAGTGTTGGCTAGAGTGGGGATCTGGTTGTGGTTGCGGGGCACGCTGTACAACGCCTCAGCAATGTCAGCTGCTCGTTTCAGGATTATTTCCTAGAGAGACACGAAACAAGCACCGACAACTCAGATTTGTGCAAATGCTCCAAGTCGCAATAGCGCAAAAATGTACCGAAGAGATTCAACTGGAATTATAGTGGGGGTGAGGGGTTTGCTGCTTGCTCCAACAACACCTCCTGTTTTTCCTTCCCATGCCCAATTGCTCCTCAACACAGTAAATATAAAAAAAGGAAGAAATTAACCTAAAACTCTAGTTTAGCACTGGAAGCCAGGTGAAAATCGTCGCATGGGTTTTATGCGTCCAAGGCAGGAGTTGTGTTTTCAGCAGTTTGCAAAATACAGTACAGCTGATCCACTCGGCTGAGCAGATTTCTTTAGGACTTCCCATTAGTCACTGTATATTTTGGCCCCAGTTCAAGGTTATTCTCCTGCCTTAATGCTTGCTTATGCTTTTGGCACCTTGCACATAATTGTCATTTCTGATAGGCAAACGAGCAGCGAGAGAAGAAGGGGAAGATGAAGCGCTTCCCTCGGAGCATTGCATCACATCACACTGCCCTCAAGGTGGCTGGCAAAGCCTGGCTGTGTACAAAGGCAACGTGCTGATGCTCTGCCAGCCCTGCACAGAGCAGGTATTGATCTACACGTGTCGGCGTGGGAACAAAGAGCGCGCTGCTGACCTACCTGGTTGTTATGGGGCATCCCATATAGGGCTTCAACAAGGTCTGCTGCTCTCTTAAGTAATACTTCCTAAAGGAAAACAAACAACCTGTGTTATGTTTCACCAAGACAGGAGCAGTGCAGCAATGTTGGCAGTTGTAGCGTCTCTAATTGGAAGGAACTGATAAAGTGGATAAAATACGTCACATGCCGCCCGTGTGTTCCTGCTATATTTAGGGGATGTATTACAAAGATAGGAAGGTATTTTGTTTGGGAGGAAAACAGGGCTTGTGGTTTGAAGTCAAAGTTAGAGACGAGCCTAAAAATAATATTGCATTTTACATCCAGCTGTTCAATTATGATTGACTCGGAAAGGTGTTTGCTGCTGTAGCATGTAGCTCTCGTGCTGAATTAGTGAAATCAGTGCTTGAGGTTTAATGATGTAGTCTTATGGGTATTAAACAAACAAACACATGGTAGAGATATGAAAGGCACAGGCATCACATTTGGCTGTTAATTCCTAGCACTTTAGTGGTGAAGAACAATAAGTAATTTTCCATATCTTAATTAAACTGGCAGAGTCCTTAAAGACAACATCTCACCCCTAATTCATGCCCCAAATTTGCAAGTGAGTTCAATGCTTATTCCTCTTTATTTTGAACAATAAAGTGAATTAACTTGGGTTAATCTAGTTCTTTCATAATGACATTAAGAAATTTTTCAATTAACCTCTTTGACTGCATGTTGTAAAGGACTTCATAAATGACTTCACATTCAGAGAGTGTTGAGTACTTGTGCCTGGGGGCATGGATGCACTGAATTTTGTCTTATCCTTGTCTGCATGCCTACTTTCAGTTTTATGATTGTGAGGATTAATCCATAGTTTAGTTAATTTTAAATACAAATGGACTTATTTTTTTTAATTTTTTTTTTTTTTTTTTTACCTTCGGCTGTAATAAAATTTAGCTGGATTTTTTTTTTTAGAAAAAGATCTAGCCAGTAGGACTTGGGTCATCTCTGTTAGGGATAGGATTTGTGAATTTCTTTGCAACTTATTTGACTGCTTTGAAAGGGATCATTTCTGT